GCCAAGCAGAGCCAGGAGAGCAGGGTCCACCCTGCCCTCCACCTGGCGTTTGGACGAGCCTCTTTCTGCTGACTGGGATCCCATGGACACCTCTTATCAAAGCCAAAAGTTGGCTCTTAGAGGACAAAGCACCTGTAGCATGAGCCTTAGCCCAAAAGAACTACAGCCAAAGAACACCCCACCCTCCCCCAAGTCCAGCCCATCCCGCACAGGCGGGCACACTCAAACCCCACAGGCCTTGCACCCTCAGACGCATGCCATCAATACTAGCAGGCTGAGACATCCCTTCTCCATTATGTTCTTCCACTCTCATGTAAGTTCACCCCCCAGGGTCCCACACACACTCCCCCTCTCACTCAGACTCCCCAGGTCCACCACGCCCACTTATCACTCACCCAGACCTCACGGTACAGCCCAAGCCTCTGGGAGGAACTCTGAAACCTGTGCTTATCCCTCCTTATCTCCTCAGGGGCCCTTTGAGCCTTGAGCGCCTGAGGCACAAGGAAACACTTCCGGCCATTGCCTTTCACTCCCCGGGATGTAAATTGCCTCCCCTGAAAGCCAAAGCTTCAGCTCTGTTCCCCAACCCAGAACCCCCTTTGCCCAAATTTGCTGTACCTTCTCAGTCCTCCCCTCGCTCCAAGACTCCAGGAAGATGTCGAGCCTGGGAGGAGCCTTTGGGACCCACCAGCCTCCCTATGGCCACTCGTGAGGATACTCAGTTCAAGGTCCAGAGCTCCTGGTCATGAGCTGCTTTTCCACAGCCCCTTCCATGTCTACTTGTAGCCATTGCGCTATCAGTACTGCTTCTGAGGGCACCAGTAAGCAGGGCAGGCAGACGGGCAAAGGAGGACAGGGAGGTTTCCTTGACACCTTTCTCCAATACTCCACATCCACTCTGTTGGCAGATGCTGTCCATTCTGCTTGGAAATCTATCCAGACTTGCATCTAATCAAGCTTTTGGAACTAACTTCCAGTTTGTAGAAAAAGCAGAGACAGAAACAAAGGAAGGAACTTCACAAGGAAGCAATGAGCCAAGCTCAGGATATGGAACATTCTACGGGAGCCGACTCTCTTTCTTTAGGAAGTCGATGATACGAAGGGAAAACAACAAGACCCAAAAAAGTGGGGCAGGGGAGGGATTTGTTCCTGATGAAAAGATGTGGAAAGGATGTAAAAATTCAATGGAATCGATTTGGGACCGGGATTAATCCAATCAACCGTACAGAGACATGTGTATCTGTTCCAGCAGCGCCCGCTGAGTGTGAGACGTGAGAGCAGAATTGGGCTCCCAAGGCCTTCCACCGGCCGGTGCTTCCCAAGAACATCCCCAGGCGTTCCTCTGGTTCCTCTGAGGACACTTGAACCTCCTGCTTGTCCTGTAACAGCTGAACACGTTACTGTTTGCACTACCAGCAACGCCATGTCTCAGTTAGGGTCCTGGGAAAAGATGGTGTGGTTCCGCTGGATAACCTAAAGATGGAGACAGCTTTAAAGTACCCTAAAGCTGCCAAGAGTAGGGGGTCCTTCCCATGGGCGGAGCCGAGGGGAGCAGCAGTCACAGAAACCGACAAGGGACTTTTCCAGAGAGGAGTGCCTGAAAGGAGCTGTGAGCTTGGGGAGGAAGTTGCAGCTCATCCTCGGGGACACAGCAGGTAAGGAGCCAGCGAATAAATGCCCTGGCCTCTCTCTGTCTTCCTGTAATGCCCTGGCCTCTCTCTGTCTTCCTGTAATGCCCTGGCCTCTCTCTGTCTT